TCCTCATCTTTCATAATGTGGCTCATATAAACACATTCTCATGGTTACCGATTTCCTAAATATGGGTGCAATGACATTAATTTCCTGGCTACTTGTTCCCACTTCTGTTTTAAGCACACTAATGAAAGGAACCTGGGTGCACTTGGGTTGGTTTTATTTAATTAATGAGCTAGTTGGATGATTGCTGATTGGCCCTGCTGTTGTTGATTGATCTCAATTGGAGAGAATCACTTTCACTCCAGAAAGTTGGAAGTTGGAAGCTAGCTACTCTCATTCTTTGGTTTTGCTTTCTCTTGTTGATACATTTCTTCTGTGGAGATGGCTCATGTTCCTTTTATCACTTATCTATGAACTAAGGATGAAGATTATAAATATGATTACAATTAGGATGGACGGTAGTGGTGGTAGATCTTTTGTGGGGAATAACTGGCTCCTTTTTTCTTGAAAAAAAGTGCAGGTGAGCCATTTGCTCAGGCTTCATTTTGGACCTTGTTTATAAGGATCACCAAATGCAAGCTTGTTTCCAACACTCACACATCTGAGAATTATTTTCAAGAATTCTTGGCAAGTGACTTTTTTTCTTTTCTAATGTAAATGCTAGCCATTATACTTAAAATTTTAATAAGAAGCCCTACATAAAAATAACTCTCTAGGGATATGTCCTGCTTATTCTAAATCTCATAGTGAGCTCATTAAAAACTTTGAACTGCTAGGAAGAAGAACATTGTGCGAGCCTGTGGTACTCATGGAGTCGTTGTCCTGCAGTAATGACTTGAAACTAGTGGTACTTGGGGGTAGATTAAGCTGCTCCACTGAGAATCTTAACAAACCAGACTGTGAAGCATGTCAAAGTGGTACCCCGGCAAGGGAGGTGACCAATTCACAGCAATAATGTTATAAAATCATAATAATGTTACAATAGCATGTAAATGTGAGCTATATTTAAGAGACTTGAATTTCCTAGTATATTTTTCTTTTGATCTTTGATAAGATGTGGAAAGGTTAGATCTTTCAGAATTTACAAACAAAATTAAAATTCAAGAATTTTCTTTTTCTTTTTTTTGGGGGGGGAGGGGGTTCGAGACATGGTTTCTCTGCAGCTTTGGAGTCTGTCCTGGAACTAGCTCTTGTAGACCAGGCTGACCTTGAACTCACAGAGATCCACCTGCCTCTGCCTCCCGAGTGCAGGGATTGAAGGCATGTGCTACCCCCACCCCCCACCCCAGCTTTAAGAATTTTTTAATAGTAGACAAAAATCATCCAATTGAGTTGAGAGAGTATGTACACAAAAGTCACATGACCATGAAACTGTATCCGGAGATGTTGACTTCTTGATCCAGTACGTCTAAGAACAACCGCAGATGCCAGATTATATCCATCCCTGTAGCAGCCTATGGATCTGTTCTGGAAGCCGCATTATCTGCTGATGGACGGTATAAGTGCTGCAGGCAAAACCCAGAGCTTTGGATTCTGCCTCTGCCTTTGCCACCGCCATGCCCTTACATGAATATGCAATGTAGAGTCTCAGCTTCGTATTTGGGAAGAACTGCTAAAGAGACTGGTTCCTACATATGATTCTTAACATAACACGACAATACTGTGTACATAACACGCAGTGCCTGCTCTTAGCCAGGACTCTCTACGTGTTTGTTATTGCAAGGTCAAACAAAGAGGAAACACTTCTTAAGTGAGACCATGACTTTTCCAGAGCTGCTCAGGAAGGCAGGTACGCTTCAGTGCTTTGGACGATGGCAGGTGGCTACTTCCCCGTGTCTGTCGTTGAAGGAGAACTGGTGATAATCACAGGACGTAGCCACTGTGGCTTTTAGAAGGAGGTGACTGGCAAGCTCAGCGTGAGTCATCCCCTCTCTTTAGGTCAGCTCTGACATTTGCCCTCCCTGTTTTAGTTCTTTCCAGTTACACTCAGTCTGTCTGCTTTGGGGAATGAGAACGTTTGGGTTTTGAGGCCAGAGGAATCTAGACCAAAGATATTCGTGGAAGGCTATGATTTTCAAGGGATCCTGTGTTACTATCATGCACCATGCACATGGCTTTCCCTAGGAAGGGGACTCAGCCTTTACTCTGTACTTACAGAGTCTGTATGTGTATGGTTACCAAAATGTTCTCTTACCAAATCTTTGAAAGTCTGACTCAGTCTTCACCTGTGCATCAGCCCTGTGACCACCAGTGAGACTATGAAGATGCAAACCAGGCATCTGCATAATAGGGCCCTTAGGGAACTTTCAGTGACTATAGTAAGTCTACCTCGGCTAAGCTCTCACTATTTCCTGGGTTCGTTAGTTGGCATGCCATGGGCAGAAATGCCACTTACTCCAAATCCATTGATGTCTCTTGTTTTCTTACTTGTTTATTTTGCTGAAATTCAGGCAGCTCCATGCATCACCGACTTTCAAAGTAAAATTACCCAGCCACCTCGTTCTTTTCCAATTTCCTGATGCTGGGTTTCCTAATTACAAATATTCCAGAAAGTAGTTTTGTAACTCAGCATGGGAGCACGTAATGCAAGCAATTTCTTCGGGTTGAGTTGAATGCGGGAGACTTCCTCCATCTGCCAGAACACAGCTGCTTCAGGTACATGATAAGTGTTCCATGTTGGATGACTTTTATATTTTAGCACTTAGTGAACTAAAGGAAAACATGTGTCTCCCAATGTTCAGAATCCTATGCTGAATTTTTCTGAGTCTTTAAGGGAACATAGAAAACTCCCTTCTGTTTCCCTAAAGGGTAATATTTAAAATACGGAAGTTCTAACTGTATGGTAAAGATACTTAGTGTTAGCTTTAAATTGCTAGGTTGGTTTAGATAGATACAGTCATCAAACCCTGTGTGCTTTTTGCTGTTATTTTGTTTACACATGAAAAATAAAAATATGCCTGTTTGTTCAGCAACACTGTGGAAAAACCCACGTTAGTAGCTGAAATATCTGCCCAAACTGGGCTTCTTTGTTGAGGCTTTTGCCCTCCTCCTAAGCGGGCACACCAAGAAGGAAACACACTGTGAGCATCGTATCTCAGGCAGAGCGGAGCACCTGTGTTGAGGCTGGCATTCAGAATGGGTTTCTGCGTGTCCCAGACAGCACTGCACCGAGTCCTCTGAGTTACCATGTGAACTCAGTGGAGGTCAGCACAGGGCCAAATCATGCCATCTGCCCCTCTCCCTCTCTTGAGTTTCATGCCTCACCACTGGCTAACATGGATGCCAACAAGTGTCCTATTCAAACAGAATGAAAATTCTGTCTCCATCATTCTCACAGTTTTAAACCCCTAGCAGAGATCTAATTTTCTAGACACAAGCCCTTTCACCAACATAACCTTTAAAAAGTCGTTCTGGTCTCAGCCTCCGAAAACATGGGTGTGTCGCTGCTCACTCTTGGTTCACTCTCGGTTCATTTTCAGTCTGAGAGCGTGAGGAAAAAGTATCGACACTCAATAGTTCTTTTCTTTCCCTGATTTCTTGATATTCAAAGTACCAAATAAGAACAGTGGGTTGCCTGAACAAAACGACCAGCGATCTCCTTCTCCTGGGAGTTTGTTGTATGCCAGGCATTACGTGGAATAGTTAGCTTGACTTTAACTGATTGGTGGCATCTGCATTCTCACTGAGGAAATTAATTCTTTGCAGAAGTTAATCTCACGTGGAAAGGGCAAGAGCTACTGTCTGATTGCCGAACTACCTACTTCTAGGAGGGCACTGACCAAGTTGGATCTATGGTAGTTGTGACTGGGACAAAAGTAGCTGGACGCAGAACAGTGGCTGTCCCGTTAAGTATTAGTCACAGTTGATATGTTCTCCCTCTGCGTGGGAATGTGAGTGTGTGTGTGTGTGTGGGGGGGGGGTTGTCAGTTAATGTTCACAGAGTTCTTAATATTCTTCAGGTAGCTGAATCCTACAAATTCTTCTAAAAAAAAAAAGGAGGAGGATGGAAAATAACAAAAATGATTACATAGGCCATGTGATACTTATTGCCATAATTCTCCGTTACGTAAAAGATAATGGGGATGGGGAGATGGCACTGTGTGTAAAGGTGTCCACCTCTAAGCCTGTGGCTTGAGTTTGATCCCAGAACCCACAGTATAGAAACAGAACCAATTCCTGAAAGTCTCCCTTCATGCACGCATATCCTATAGCATGAGTAAACAATAGAATGTTTTTAAAGATCAACACACGTTAGACTTCAGGACTGAAGAATGTACTCATGTTCCATGTCCGGTGCCTATTCGTGCACTGTGTTCTTTGAACGAAGTCCAGACTGTGTTAAACTATCCTTGGGTTTGTCTTCATTAGGTCTTCAGTTCTCAAGCAAGTGTGGCCTGTTTGATCATTACCTTGAGCTCTTCCATGCTATCAGCCTTAGGGCCGTGAGCTGGTTGCTTAATGTAACAACTGCATATTATAAAGTGAGAAGGCTCTCCTGTCCTCGCACTGGAGAGCCCAACTCTTAGGCCAAACCACATTCTTTCCTTTAGACAACACCGCAAATGTGTACTTAATTCCTGCTAAGATTTTCCCAGATTCCCCACATATATTTGTACAGAAGGTTGGATGTTGATCTTTAGTAAATTTCAAATTGATTGCCTAATCATGCGATGAAAGGATGGATGTTCCGGGGCCTTCTATTTTGACTCTGCTGTGTCTGATGGTGCAAACTGTCACTCAGAGGACAGGAGCTCTGTAGTGAGCAGCCATTTTGTTGAGGAAGTGGAAACTCTCACCGTCTTACCACCGAGCTGTACTGACGTACTGACTCCAAACATAGTGTTTCTTCTTACAGTTACATTTTCTGCCACCCACAGACTGACATCATGTCTCCACACTGAAAGCGGGAGTGGCATTTGGCATTGGATGATCCCAAACCCAAGTCTCTGTCCCGTTTTTAGTACTTTGCCATTTTGATTTTGCTTTTTGAATTTGCTTGTGACTCTCTGCTTCCCCCATCTTTTTTTTTTTGGTACAATGATTCTTACCTTGTCTTTCCCCAGTCCGTTTCTGACCTGGAGAGACGTACAGCATGTTATTGTCAGGACTTCCCGTGCGGGACATTTGAACGCTAATGACTGGAAAACCAATGCTGCTGGTTTTAAGGGTGAGAACTTCTTTCATATTCTGTCACAGGCAAAATATTTTTAATTTTTCCCCAATTTTAAATGGAGAGTAGGAAATGAAACCCTTCAAACAAATCTTTAAATTTTGTGCTCACACATGAAGAGCCCTTTGGTCTTCTAGAACATAAAAGACAGATTGACTTTTTTTATTAGAACTATACGCACATGGCAGATTTCCTGCACTTCCCATGCCATAGGTCAAGTGTTTAAAGATTCAGCCAACCCCCAAGTATAACTGGCCTATGGGACCCCCTAACTGCCTTAGTATTTGCTGTCGTTGATTCTCTGACTGGTGTTTTTTAAACTATGTGTTTTCAAATTCTCCATCTTTACTTCTTTATGTGTAATAACTGACACACATTTCTCACTGTGGTCTAGCAATCAGGCCATGCATTCTGTACCGTATTATTTTTACTAGCTTGAAGACTTCTGGAAGCAGAAAAGCAAGCATATTTTTATGAATAAGCCCAACGTGCAGATGAAACTTCCTACTGCATAGTCTCTTGAAGCTGCACAAGACACAGAACAAACACAGAGTGTTTTTCCCCAAGCTGCACAAGTTATAGATCCCTCTAGTGCTCTTCTTAACAGTGGCCATCATCTTTATTGTCGTGGATAATATATATATCATAATAAATAGAAAGTAATTACATAAAGCGTTTCTAAAGATTAGTGTGTTTACTCAAGTTGCAAATGACCTGAATTTTAATCTATGGAGTTATAACAATAATTACTTTATATGACAGCTACAGTCTCAAAATTTTTCCCAGATAATTTTAGATCATGACGTATCTTTTTTAGGGGAAAACCATATTCTGCAGTGTAGGGACTATGTTATCAGTGGCGGTTCTCCCTCGGACCACTGGAAACATGATGAGTAATGCTGAGGAAACCGTTCATTTTAAGATCCCTAATTGTTCCACATTTAAACATAGCATCTGAGTAACGTCTACATGATATCATGCGTAGGAGCTTAATATTCCCTTAGGGAACTGTGTCCAGTATACTTAGATATTTATACCAAAACGTATGTCCTTTTAAAATTCTTTGCAGATAGCTCGTGGTAAACTCATCCTTAACCAGGACTTATGAATCTGTCATGTATTCAGCACTTAGGACCAGTTACTTAATGTTTTTGCATAATTCACCTCATACTTAGAAAAAGAATAACCCTCTGCTCTTGAAGTGTGGTGCTTCCCTTGGCTGTCATGAGCAGCAAGTCAGTGTGCTGCTAAGCCTCAAGGACTATAAAATGCCTATAGTCGTTGTACAACTGGGAAGCCCATGTGAAGATGCCCCAATCTCAAACTTGCAATTGTATGGGCAATATGGGAATTATTTGAAATTTCAGTTCTTCAAAAAATAAAAATAAAAACCAGAATATAAATTGCCACATGTATATTTCACGTTGATTAGTGTCAGCCTGCTCCTAAATCCTACGAAATAAGCCTATGAGCTACACTGGGGAGAAAGAGGCCAGCATGTAACCTTGGCTGGAGTGGCCTTCCTAGCAGAAGGGGCTCACAGACAAAGCACGTTGACCTCAATGAAGCTGGAGAATCAACTTTAACCTAAATAAACTTCCTACTTTTACTTACTCCTTTTTGGCAACCTAAGAGGAGCAAATGGTTCCAATAAAGCACACAGCTCTTTGGAAAACCTCTGTTGGTTTTGGAGAGGGGAAAACAGGGGATTTAAACTAAATCAGCAGACCCAAACGTGGATTTCAAGGGACTGTACAGCTTCTGGTGAGGAGGAAATTGTATTTTACTATTGCACGTGGCAATATTTAGTATAATATTTCACTCTTCCCTTAGACGGCTGCCAGGGGTAACAATTAAAGTTCATTTTTTCATAGACGAATTACTCGGAATGGTCTGGGCTCCCAGAGGAATTGTTTTGTAATTTTGTTGATGGCAAGCCCCATATTTCATCTAAGCATGATCATAATAAGATGAATTCTTTCAACTTTATTTTCTTTTTTATTCTAAATATTACTATCCCTTCCCAAGTGTCCCGCCGAGAAAAAGGGACTAGAGCCGAGGCTAGCAGGAGCAACTTGCACAGGAAACAAAGGAATGCAGGTCACCAAGGCAGAGAAAAATGAACTGACTTTTTATGAAACATAAACTCCAAAGAATAAAAAAAGTTGATATTTAAGGAGATGTGTGCAGTGATAGCTCGGCAAGAATTTGTGGTTTAAATCAGATCCACCAGCAATAGAGGCCTTGCTTTGTGGAGACCGACTTTTCCCCTTAGACAAGAAAGAGCCACACTGCCTGTGGTGAAACCCTTGACTGTGGTGCTGCCCCACCCACCCCTCTGTCTTAACACTGCATAAATATGTACATGAAATGAATTTGGAAACTTCTAGATGAGCTGGACATAGTGGCACATGCCTTAAATTCCACCACTTGGGCAGCAGAGACAGATGGATCTCCAAGTTTGAGCCTGGTCTACATAGTGAGTTCCAGGACACACAGACAGACACACATATACACATACAAGAAAGGAGGAAATTAAAAAGGAGAGAGAGAGAGAGAGAGAGAGAGAGAGAGAGAGAGCAGTTTCACAGATTGTTTAGTGATCACCGCTGGAATGGGGATGTCAGTATCCATATCAGAATTTCCCTTTCTCATTGAGGAAAGCAGAAGTCATGGTTTAAATATAAGAAGATGTTATATTTACCCTGATAAATTCAGAAAAGCCAACATCCCAGCTCCTACAGCTGCAGCCTGCATATGCCCCTGTAGTGAGATCAGCTCACTGTGTGGGAAACCCCAAAGATAGTAGCCACAGTCAACACTTGGCTGCTGATGCTACCTTGACTTTTCATGATTTTAATTGAACTAACAGGATTCTGTTCTGCTGCTTAATGATAGTAACAACAGAAGTAATAATAACCTGAATATAATTAAAATATCTCTTCCAGAAGGCTAGTTTTACAGAATGTATATAAGGAAATGAATGCACCCCTATATAAACTTACTAAATATCTATTTGTCCAGTCCATCTTGTGAATAATTCTAGTCAGTTTTTAGGTACCTTTGGACTATGTGCCTTCCCCAGTAGTTACTTGAAAAGAATACTATGAATTATCACACACCCATGAAAGACTCCACCTGAGAATGTGTGTGTAAATAGAAAGTCATTCTTAGAGCAGATGTGGGATTCTGTCATTGAAGAACTGAAATGCAAATCTAGTATCCCATTGCTGAGCAACATTCCCCAAGCCAGAAGATGACTTCAGCATTAAAGGGATGGCATTTTATCAGGATTAGTGCCCTCACATCCCATCTCTTAAGTCTCTTCTGATTCGTTCCCACTCTTTTTAATCCACAACCCATGTGCCTTTATGTACACCGGTGAGTTATTAAAAAGAGCTTCCTCCACCCAGGTTGTTCTTCTGACAGAATTCAACATGTCTCTTCACTGGTTGGTTCCTAAGGATGCTCTGAGCACTTTCAGTCCTCCAGACAGACAGGAGTAGAAAATGTCGGGCACCATGAGCTAGCACAATTTATAGACACTGAAATTGATACTGGTCTTTTGTTTTTGGAAGATAAGTTATCACACTTATGTAGACTGGACTGGCCTCGAGCTCACTATGTAGGTCAAAGTAGCCTTGAACTTTTGGCAATCCTCCTGTTTCTCCTTCCTGGATACTGGAATTATAGGCATGTATCTCCATGCCTGACTGACATGGCCCTACTTTTAATCTCATTCTAACTCCTGACAATCCCCCCCCCCAGGTCACACTAGACAGAGTATTGATAGCTCTGTACTTGGCCACAGCAGGAAACCGCTTAAGGGCTAGAGCACTGTCATGAGTCTGATGTGTATTTTGACAGAATCCTCTAGCATTGTCACCCAGAAGGCTGCCCAAGATGTTCATCCAGAGATTTTTTTATAATCTGGGGATCAGAGTATCTCTGGGGAAAATGACAGCTTGTCTTGGGCTCTCCTTTCCTCCACTCCCCTGAGGGAACCATAACCAGCCAAGCCTCTTGCAGTGCCCAGGCTGTGCCGCTGATTCTTCTCCCCGAATCCTGAGCTGGGCTTTTGAGGGTATAGTTGTGAGTCTATGGAATGCATGACCATCTCTTTGAATCAAAGTATTTGTATTTGGATGATATGACTGTGTACAGTTAAACTCTCTTCTATCTAGGAACAGAAGTAGATTTCAGAGAATAAATTAGGACCTTCTGTCATCTTTACTAGGCGAAAGAATGAAAAAAAAATGTCATTGAAACTCAAAAAATGACCACTAAGTGAGCGAGGTTGCCACGCCCTCCATTTCACTGCCCTCCCAGACTATGTAAGTCTCTGTTTTTCTCCCAGCATGTTGCTGTAATCCCCCTGTCCCCACTGACTCTTTCCTGGACCACGACTAAACTACTAGATTTTTTTTTTTTTTTACTTCTAACTGGTTACCCACAAAAGTTAAAAAAAAAAAAAACAATTGACAACCTAACATGACTTCTTAGTCTCTCAGATCTTAACTTTTAATCATTTTTTTTTTACTTTTAATTGCCACCATTGTATTTCCATTGATAGGGAATGGTAGTTTTAAGATACTACAATATATTTTTAGCAACTACTTGTCTTTCAGTTTGTAATGCTTATTAAAAAGAATTAGAAGTACTGAAACCATTAAGCATGTCATGTGTTAAATCCAAATAAAAAGTTTGGATTTGGTTTATTTTTGTTTTGAGAGTATGAAGTGATTTCTAATGTGTTGTCACTTGAAAGGGTAAAACTCTATTTTATTGTTTCACTGTTTAAATAATAATATATTTCTACTACTTGCTTGTAGATTATCTGTTGAAATATGATTTATTCTCCATGATGTTTGGATGCATAATGCTTTTATGTTTTTGAAGAAAGGTCAAAATGGCTTGCTATTCCTCTGACCACTGTGAACAATGGGGTTAGAATCAAATGTGGGAGTCTAGTTAGGACCCATTTGTTGAAGTGAATG